GATACTTTGACACATAGACGGGAGGAGCCGGGGATTGATCCGTCGACCTTTCGATCGGTAGATGACCCGCTCTACCACCTTGCCCAGTAATTCATCATAAAAGCACAAAAGTCCTCTGACAGGCTTGAAACTACATAATTTAGACTGACCTGTTTAAAACTGCAAAAGTCTTATTCCAAAGCTCTAAAATAACTCCCAGCTTGATTAAAATTATGTTTAGCTTTGTGTTTACGTGCACACACACCACAGAGTGGCCAGACCATTTATGGACTAAATAATAGATATAAATATTAGAACCACCTCTTATAATAATCCAGTGCATTTTAACAAACTGGCCATAAAGCTGAAGTGACACAAGCCTACACTAGTTTAAATACAACTAAACTATATTTATATATTTTTAAAAAGCATCTAGCTTTCAGAGCATATTTGTGCAGACAGAGCCTGCAATAGATCCTTAGAGTTTCAAAACATAATGCATTTTCTTGCTTAAAAGCTCATTTACAGGTGTAATAATTCCATGTCCTTGATGAGAGCAGTGACATATGTAACACAAACTAAAGTTACTAATCAATGATGGGGGAAGAAAGAAAATAAGAAAGCTACGTTGCTCCTGCTGCTTGGACTTGCTGTCATGATTGTGTTGTATGGCTGAGGATGTGTGGGTCCACAGTATGAAAGTGGTTGATGCTTGTAAGACTGGGAGATAGCAGAAAGGGGTGGGGTGAGGGGGGGTAGGTGGGTGGGTGAAGTGGGTCTGTTTGGGCATTTAGCACTTTATGAGCCTGATTTCTTCTCCACCTGTTTCATTGCTACATACCTGTCCATAGTTGTCTATCCCAGTCACTAATCTATTGAGATTGAGTAAATCAAAAGCGTTCCTCAAGGATTGGCCAATAGTTGTGAGTCCAGTTGCTTGGAGGTTCCTCAACTCTGTCATGAATGTGGCATGGCTCTCTTTCCATCCAGCCTTAAAAAAAAAACAAAAAAAAACAAACAAACAAAACACAACATAGCAGCTGGTTAATAACATGCACAAAGCTAAATAACTACCCCACTGTTGTGACCAGCAGGCAACTTCTAAGGAAACTAGTGGTTAACTTCACTGGTTTTATTGAGAGTCTGAGCTAATAAATATCTAAATAGGTCGCTTCCTCTCTATCTGCCCAGACTAATAATTTGACAGCACTGCAGCCACAGGACGTTGATCCGTTTCTACCAGGCTGCTGCGCTCAGCTCCAGATCAGAAAATCGCAAAGTCGCAATGTGTGCAGTGACTAAAGTGGCAATTTGGTCTAAAGAAGTAAAGTAGGCTAGTCTGTCATCCCCGCTTCTCCTCCTCCTCTACTCTCCCTCCCTCCTAGATATCACCTCGCTGTATAAATAACACCCAGAGTTCCTTGCTGCTCACATTGAAACAAAATGTCGGCCATGTTTTAAAAGGGGTATGAAAGCTCCTCCTGAAGATTTTTCTCTACACAGTTGATGTAGTGATCACAACGTGGTGCAGCGATGGAAGGACAGTCAATCTGCGCAATGTAAAGCCGGACATGACCCGAAAACAAACTCTACCTTTATCCCGAACGGAACATCTTCAAAATTTACCAACATATACCGGTCCCCTCGGCTCGCCGGATCTCTCCCTCTGAGCTGTGGAAATAGTAGAGAATTATTTACGGTTATCGAGAGATCAGCTTTGACAGGCGAGCTTGCAACAGCAAAACGATGAACTGAACTGCATTCCCGCTCGGGATCTCTCAATATTAATGTGTCCCGTGGTTACAGTACCTTCATAAAAGTCTCAACAGCGCCTTTTGCTATGTCCAGATAGGTAGTGCCCAGATGGGTGCGCTGGTTCATTGAAGCGGACGTGTCTATCAGAAAAAGTAAAACGGGCATTGTGATGGTAATGACACGTTCTGCATGGACTTGGTGTCAGTACAACCGGCCAAAACGGAAAAAAATCTTTTGTTCTCCTGCCGCCTGTATCACCTCTCAGCTAGCTAGCTAGCTGGCTAACTGTCTGTCTCACACATTCTTTCAAAAAAGTGTAAGAATAGTGAGTGTAGAAGCCCTTTCCGGGCGAACTAAACTAAAAACCTCAAACCCTAGGGGCAGGTTATGGATTCACGAGGGATTTTGATAATTTTTACAATATTTTGTAAATATTCCTAAGTTTCATAGTAACAAAGTTCCCCCTCACAGTGAGTCCCTGCTTCTCCCTACACTGAATGCGCTGTGTCTTGTCCACTGGTTTTAACCTAAGCTCCGCGCCTGACCCCGCCTCCCAAGCGGTCTTGCAGTGTCACGTGTATATACACTCTCTTCTTATTGGCGGTCTCAGGCTCCTCATTACCATATCCAAATAAGGCCAAAGCAGACCGTCTCATGCGCATGCTTGCTTGCCCGAGAGGCAGGAATGCAAGGAAAATATTCTGTACATACATTGTGTGATAAAGAATACAGCATATGTGGCGATGCGCTCTTTTATCGGAGCCTTACCGCAGTTTGTTGAGGTGTTGTTATTTAGGAACAGGCATGTGTCTTAGATCTGATTACATAATCAACATTTACTTCATCCTATGCGCGGGCGTGGGCTAGTGTGAAAGACAACCCTTCAAGACTATAGAGAGATAAACTGGAGGCACTATCATATAAAAACAACTGTAAAATATCAACCAAGGAATGCACCTAGGGCAAACAGAAACTACTCGCGGGTGTTATGGCACTCGGTTTTCATGTGATGACCAAATAAAGACTCCCCTTTTCTCTGAAGGAAAACAGGTTTAGCTGAATAGTCGCTGGGATTGACATGCGCGCACACGCACTCACACACCCTGCAGCTCTGAAATGTCTGTACTTTGTCTTTATTTTCCATAGCCAAAGAACGACATACTTGCAGGTAAAAGGAAATAAAAAAACACAGAAACAATCAAACAAACACAAAGAGAGATATCGCTAATAAGAATCGAACTTCTAGCGTTGCTATTGTTGATCTGTAGTTATGTGAGATAATGCCTCAACTGTTACTGCACAGAGAATATCATCAAACGTGCTACACATAAGCCTTTTGACAGATTAGAGTTCACTCTTAATGCTACATGACACCCAGCCACACGCGCACGATTGTGCAATACAATTTACATAATGTAGTTGACTGGAAAATATCATCACTTCCGCAAAAACAAGACGAAACCATCCGGTGGCTTGCGATAGCAAAGCGGAGGAACGTCTGTGTGCTTCTTATTTGATGTGAAGCAACACGCGCGCGCGCGCACACACACACACACAATTTATCTTCCGGTGTGTCACTGACGTTTTTCACAATAAAATCTTTAATGTGGTTTGGCGATCTTAACGACGAAACTGTGGAAGGTGTGATAAACTGTAGTTGCAGCTGCAATAACATTTATTGCCATTATAAACCAGCTATTTATTGTAGCTTGCACAGCAGCACAGTAACCGGTTAAGCACCAATCTGAGATACTTCTGTTCTGTTTGGGCCTCTCTGACTTTGTTATTTGACGGATTAATTAACTTTCCACAGATTCATTCATTCATTCTTCATCTTTCGCAATTCTGGGTCTCTTAACTTTCAAGTTTAAAATGTAACAAGCAAAACACTCAACTATCTTCTGACTGATGCAGGTTTAACTGACTCAACTTTCTTTTTGTCATCCCACTATTGCAGTGTTTTTTCATTTGCTCAAAGATTATGTAACTAAAATGTATTAAGTGTACACTTAAAACACACATTCTTGTGCAACTGTTATATTACAGGTTTTACTGCTTCTCCGAAACAGTTTCCCAGACTTATATATTATATATAACACATTCTTGTGTTGGTTGATTTTAGCACAAAGCGTCATTTCCAAACATAATGGATATTGATTATTAGGGTAGTGGTAATTCTCCACTTATGAAAGTCTCTCTCCCCCCCCTCCATAGTTTGTAATTTTACTACGAAAGTCAGAACCGGAAATGCTACATTTTACTATGAAGGAATCTTGATCACAATTCATGGTGAGTCAAGAACATATGTGAAGTTACTTGGACAAGCCAAACACAAATTTCCGGTCCATGTCTGAGCTGCTTCATACAGGAAGTTGTTGCTCTATTAGTATTAGTGCTGCATGTTAAAATCCAAAAGCATCACCTTAGATAGTTAGATATACGATTTAGTGTTATGAGTATATTATGAGGTTCTAATAAACGACCTATAATTGCATTTTTGATCTAGGCAGTCCTGCAGCTCTTTCCTGGAAAGTAAGTGGTTCGTGAAAAAAGTAATGTTGGTAGAGTTTTTCTTCTCTGAAGTTATCAGTGACCCAACTATTAATCTGGTTTTATTTCTAAAGTCCAGTTCAGTCATCAAGATTATCTCTACTCATGTCCAAACTGGCTATTTATAGTAATCAATAACATTATACATATAGTACCATATCTATGGCGTATAAAAAATACAAAACTAGTTTGAAGAAAGTCGCATTATGGAAATTAATGCAACTAATAATAAAGTATAGCTCACCCTGAGCCAATAGAGGTGTCTAAAAGTCGGGATAACGTCTTTTGTCGACCTCACTGTGGCACCCCTTTAATAAAGACATCTGTCATATTTTATAAACCTTTGGTAAAGGGAAATTGACATGTCATAATTTGCACTTTTTAACATAACAGTATTTGCTCTATATATTTCATTAGGGCCAATTAAAACTGATTTCTTTGCTTTTTTTGCTTCAAAATGATTAACTCTTTCTTGTATGGCAGACGTAGTGTAGCCACACTTTGCAGAGGGCCTCATTAGAAAACGTTTTGTTGATATTACTTTATTATTTTTGCTTACAAGACTTGAGATATTGTCATCGTATCGTTTTATATTTTAATTAAAGCATATCTATCTAATATCTATCATATTTTGTTGTGAAAATCCAAAAGCGGAACTCAACTAAGGACTTTTATTTTGTTCAAAGGAAGTGCTGTATGTGTGCGAGTGTAGGTGGCGTATCTGTTGTCAGCTGACTGGCACCGCCTCTGCCCGCCGTCACAACAGAGAGCTGCCTGCCTGACAGCTAGCTAGCAGCCGAGGTTCTGCTGTCGGACCGCCGTGTGTTATGTTTCTCGGAGCCAGGACCGTAGTCGGAGGTTTGTGCACCACCAGCTCATGGCGGCTGAAATTCAGCCTCAACCTCAGGCTCGGAAGCCTTGCCTCCTGAGCAAAATCGATGCTTTCCAGGAGGTGGTGAGCACAGCGGTGATAATTCCCAAAGAAGACGGCGTTATCAGCGTGTCTGAAGACAGGTAAGCTGCGCTCTGCAGGCTGGCTAAAGCACAAATTAACCTCCAGAAATAATATTCGACACAATAATGCCCCTTAATCTGCTCCTATTGATTGGACTCATTGAGTGGACCCCCACCCCTGTGTCATGTAACGTTTCCAAACATGTTGAAACAGTCCAAGGGTTCAATAACATTTTTACAAAAGTGTCAGCTGACACAGTCACACCATTACATGCTAGTTAACGGCTGTAAATTATACTCTTTTTGTGTTAGCTCCAAGCCAGTAACACGTAGTTTAGTTGTGCTAACGTTAGCTAGACATAACTAAAAAAAGACCCAGCGTAAACACTGGTGTTATTAGAGTGTTTCTCGCATATTATGGCATCAGGAGTTGCTATATATACCAGAATGTCTCAGTTTTGAGGCATTAAAGCTGCTGTAGTCTGTCCCCTTACTTATTCACTGTTGCACATGCCTGGAGCTGTTTTGGGGTACCAAGAGTTTGCGTCTATCCCACTTAGATCTATGTGAGGGTGACGGTGAGCCTGTATATGCTGAGGCGGCATGTTCTGAAATGTCCTTGTAACTTATTGCACCAATTGCAAATTTAGTCCTATATGCCACCTAAGCTATATGATGCATATCCCTGATCCATGGCGACTTACCTATTGTAGTCCTAGATGGCTATTTACTGGGGTGTTTAAGCAGGGGAAATGCTTAAAATAAGATATATGGAATTTGCTAGAACAAACCGCGTTTAAGTACCCACCGAAATGGAAAAGGAGGTGGTGAAATAGAAGTGTCTTAAGTCTTTGTGCCAGTGGCCATGTGGATTTGCGAGGGAAATGAGCCTTTCAGTGGATTCTGTGATTGAGTTTAAAGCACAGATGATTTTATTCCCATTACATTTCACCCAGAAGTATATGTCACCCCTAAAGAGAACAGTGAAGAATAATTGCTGTAAATTGAAGTGTTGAGTGGTGTAGTAAAAATTCAAAGTACGTCAGTGAGTTGATTGTCAGTCATCTCGGAACTCGGGCTGTTGTTCAGTGTCACAGGGGAAAGTTTTTACCTGCATTCACAGCAGAGACAAAACATTAGAACCATTGTTTGTCTCATATCTGGGCTGTGCAGACTGTCAGGTGTAAAGACCTGAGCAAGTCTGATAAGATACAGATGTTTGTGGTCAGATAACTAAGTTAGCACCTCTTCCTTGTGAGAGGCCTACTAACACTGGGCTGACAAGAGTCAAACCACAAACCAGTGACAGGATGAAGTCTGATATGCAGCAGGTGCAACTTACCGGAGTTAACGGATCTGGTGAGCTTTAAGCAGCATTTTAAGGATGGGTGGTCATGATATTTTGGGGATAATGAATGCATGTAACCTTTTGGGGGAAATGTCAGTACTTCCTCTGGTGGAAGTGGCAGTTGGATCTGCTTGTGGCCCTCCGGAATGCTGGTGAGCAGGCTGATTTCCTTATCAGTGGTAGTGAAACCTATGAATACGTCACATATATTTCTGTTTTCTCAGAAATTCTGGCAAACTAGAGTTGATTACCTGCAGTGTAACAAAGTTGACACCAAGAATGTAACTCACTTCAAATGCATTGAGGACTAATCTCTGTTGGTTTCATCCCACAGGACTATTCGGGTATGGTTGAAGAGAGACAGTGGTCAGTACTGGCCCAGCATCTACCACACAATGCCATGTAGGTATTCCTTCCTTTTTTTGTCTACTGGCACATTTTTTTTGAATAACAGTACTTATCAGTAAATTGTCAGTATGGTGTATGCTTAAAAAAGGCAATATTTATTTATGAATTAGCTGGTTGACTGGCTTGTTTAGTATAATTAAAGAAATCATAAATAGCACAAGAATGGCACTTTTGTCAGCAGTTATTCAGCTGACACATTCTTCTGTGAAAGGCCCGTGTTCACTCCCGTTTCTGTACATGCTTCCCCTGTGAGTGTACTGACTCAACATGATGGACACAATGAATCACACACCCCTCCTTTCAGAGACCGATGAAAATGTGGAGGTCACTCTGCTCTTGGGATCAACCAGACTTGATGTTCAACATTTTTCAGATTATCGGTATCATTCTTGTTTCCACTGAGTCTCGATAAAACAGATTAGCTGTAAAATGCGTTACCGTAAAAAGCTACCTCTCTCTGGCAGCTGTCGTCACCCTGAGGTGTCAGGCACTATTATATTTGTTATGCTTCACGAGTAACAGCCTATCAACACTTAATGCACAGATGACCACATGTGCTGACTGGAGCGGCCTCGATGAGTGGGTGGAGCTGTGTTTCAAAGGTAAAGGCAGCAGGAAGTGGCAAGCTCTGACGCTGAAAAGTGAAGCCAACATGGAAGTGCTAAAAAAAGAAGAAGAGAAAGACAGTTCCAATAGTGGCCACTTGAGGCGCTATCCAAAACAGAATCAATCCCATTAGACTTCCATGTAAAAATGTTCAATATCAGCAGTGAAATTAATATTCTGACAGGATGGTACAACAGGTTGTTGTTGTTGTTGTTTTTTTTAAATCTCTTTATCTAATTTATTTTTTCATAACACTAGTCCTTAGAGCAGGGCGATATGACCAAAAATATTTATCACGATATACATTTGAAAATTTGCGATAACGATATAACTGACGACATAATTGACACTAGACAAAATACTTTACAACTCCACAACTTTATTAGTGCAAAAAAAACCCATCAATGTATTTTCACTTAAACAAGCAGCTGTTTTTTAAGTGCATTAAAGTTATATAAAAATGTAACAGTGCAAAAGCAAATTCCTTGCTGACAGTTTAACCAAAAGGCATTTCCAGTGGAAATTGGCCGACATATCCTCAGCATAACCATGTATAATATCCAAAAAACTTAAAAAGAGGTTATACACACACAATACGGTAATATTATGTTGAAGCACAGTACGTATCACTCCGCGAGGCTCCTGCCTACGATAGCCGTAATGCTCCGTCAATCCATCAAGCGGTGCGGGTTCGTAGCTTAGCAAAGTCGTACTGAAACATTTGACAGATTTTCGAGCGCCGTGTACATAAAATCGTTTCGAGGTCAGTAAACACAACCAGAATTCATACATAAGGCACACGGGATTATAAGGGGCACTGTCGATTTTCAGAAAAATCAAAGGATTGATTTTAAGTGTGCCGTATTTTCCAAAAAACACGGTAATAACGACGGCCCGCTAGCATGCTCTACCAAAAATAGTGCTTTGTTGTGTATCTGACGGACGAAAGCTAAACCAGTTCCACACCACTGAAGTTGCAGCATTTTTACAAACCAGTTCTGGTTCATCCGTTTCATTCAACGATCCACTTTCGCCTCTTCTCATTCTCTGTCGCCATGCTTTTTCCGCCATGTGCGTATGAAAACAAAGGCACTGCGCATGCGTGTTTTACCCATATTCTATCGTGATATTTCATTTTCTTATCGTTGCCCGTCATTATACCGGTATTACCGTGAACGGTATGATATGGCCCAGCCCTACTAGTCCTTTTCCAAAAATGTTGGGACACTGTAAAAAATATTAACAAAAACACAACGCACTGATTTTCAAATGTCATATTTCATGTAATAATAAAACATGGAAAACATACCAAATGTTTAAGCTTAAGAAAAATCCTCTGTTATTTTGAATTTGATGGCAGCAGCACGTCTCAGAAAAGTTGAGACAGGACCACTGTGTAGCATCCCTTCTTCTTTAAACAACAGTCTGCCGTGGAGAGTAACTGCTGGATCGTGGGCAGAGGAATCTTGGCAAATTCTTGTCTAGAGCAGGGCGATATGGCCAAAAATATTTATCACGATATATATTTGAAAATTTGCGATAACGATATAACTGACGATATAATTGATGCGAGACAAAATACAACTCCACAACATTACTAGCGCAAAAAGACAACCTTCCATTTATTTTCACTTAAACAAGAAGCTGGTTTTTATGTACATTAAAGCTTTATAAAAATGTAACAGTGCAAATGCAAATTCCTTGCTGAAAGTTTAACCAAAAGGCATTTCCAGTAGAAATGGGCTGACATATCCTGAGCATAACCATGTATAATATCCACTGAAGTTAAAAAGAGGTGCTTTGCAACATTAAACTGCAGTGTGCAGTACGTATTTTTCGGACCATAAGGTGCACGGGATTATAAGGCACATTAAGCGAAACAAAGCAGTCAGATAAATCAAACTTTATTAAACTCATTCTTCTTGCTTCCTCCACTTCTGTACCATTGATTCATTAATGTTGAATTCTCTGGCAGCTGCTCTATTCCCATGTTGTTGCAGTATATTAATGACTAACCTCGTATTGTGGATGGATTATCTCAGTTGTTCTCCTGACTGAAGTTTGGTCCGTTTACAGCATCCTGCCATGCGATTGCATTTGTCTCTAACCATGAAGAACCTTCACGTTAACTTTTATAAGTGGAAAAGTGTTAGTGTTCGTCCTCCAGCTTCACTGTTTATGTTATGCTAACATAGCTGTGTCGCTAGCGATCACGTAGCACATCATTATATACCAGCTAGCCCAACTTCAGTAACCCTACAAACGTCACTGCTGTTTAGTTTCCTGTCTTCATTTATGTTGGAAGTGATAGCAGAGCTGTACGTTTGATTTTTTTCAGAAATCTCTCAGTCAGAACATGCTATATCATGCTTAGGTAACTAGCGAAACTAGCGAGCTAACTTCCGCTAGCTTCCTGCTAACTTCTAACTCCGTTAAATGTAATAACTTTTGTTTTCATGGATGCCTGGAAGTTAAACTTTATAGTTACACCTGGTAAAGCAGCAATGCTGATCGTTTTATTAAAGATGAAAGAATTTAGACAGTTTTTAACTCTCAGTGATGCTGCAGTGTTCGTTTGACCTGAAGCATACGGAGTTTAGGACCCAGATTACTCCCAGATTTAAGAGCATCTTAGTCCGACAAATACGACAATAACGACGGCCGCTTGCATGTTCTGCAAAAAAATGTGCTTTGTCGTGTATCTGACGGACAAACACCAAACCAGTTCCACATCACTGAAGTTGCACCATTTTTACAAACCAATTCTGGTTCATCTGTTTCACTCAACAATCGGCCATGTGCGTATGAAAACAAAGGCACTGCGCATGCGCGTTTTACTCCCATTCTATCGCGATATTTCATTTTCCTATCGTTGCCTAACATTATACCGGTATTACCGTGAACGGTATAATATGGCCCAGCCCTATTCTTGTCTATTACAGGATTCTAGCTGTTAAGAAGTCTTTGAGTTTTTTCCAGTCTGCCCTAAAGGTTTTCATTTGGTGAAATGGCAGGTTGGCCAGTTCAGTACCCACACTCTTGTACTATGAAGCCATGCTGTTGTAATAGTTGCAGTATGCTGGGTAGGATTGTCTTGCTAAAATATGCAAGCCCTTCCCTGAAAAAGATGTCATCTTGATGGAAGCATATGTTGCTCTAAAACCTGTATATACAGGTTTTATATAGTTTTCAATTGCTGTATATAGTTTTCAGTATATTAGGCGCTAATATACTTATGAGGCTATGGTGTCAGTGTTTTCCAAAAATAATTTCAAATTTTCAACTCATCTAATCACAAAACAGTTTTTCACTTTGCCTCACTTTATCCATTTTAAATGTATTTTGGCCCAGAGAAGACTGCAGTGTTTCGTCTTTGCATGATTGAGCTTTAACCTGTGTTAGTGGATGGTTCGGTGAGCTGTGTTCTCAAGAGTGATTTGTGGAAGTGTTCCTGACCTCATGCAGTGATTTCCATGACAGAATTATGTCTGTATTTAATGCAGTGCCGCCTGAGGCCTGAAGATCAGAGGCATCCAGTATTGATTCTGGGCCATGTTCCTTGCTAGATTTCTCCACATTCACTAAATCGTTTCATGGTTTTATGTACTATTGACAAACATTCTGAAATTGGTTCAAAATGGGCAAATTTGCAATTTTTTAAAGACTGGTGAACCTCTGCTTATCTTTACTTCAGAGAAACTCTTTTTTTTCTCAGTGACCTGTTGCCACTTTACCTAATTAGTTGCAAAATGTTCCTCCACCAAAACGTTCCCTTTTACACTTCCGGCCTTTTGTTTCCCCTGTTCCGACTTTTTGCTGCCGTCAATTCAAAATGAGCTAATACGTTTCATGAAATTATAAAAATGTATCGATTTAAACATTTGATGTTTAGTAATGTTCTATTGTGAATAAAACATGTGTTTATGAGATTTGCAGCTCGTTGTATTATTTTTTTATTTACACTTTAAACAGCATCTCAGCATTTTTGGAAATGGGTTTGCAGTTGTGTAGGTGTTGAGTCTTTTTCTTCTTCTAACTCCCCCCTTTTGTTGTGGCTTACAGTTAGTGAGTGGCTGCTTTGATTAATGGGTCTGCCAACATTGGCAGCTGTAGCCTCCAGCTGTAAGCTCAGCCTCACTGAAGTGCACGTCTGTGGTGCATTTGGAGCATTTTTAGTAGAATTATTGATAAATAACATCATGACAAAAAATGTTACAAGAGGTTTTGCTATTACCAGTTTTGGTGATTTTATTCATCTCTTACTTGGCACGAATTAACAGGGTTTCTGTTCCTATGTGTTGCGCCCGTAGACTGTATATAACACATGGATATGACTTCTGGTGTATTTTACAAAACAGTTTTTATTTTGTATGACCCAAAATGAGTGACTGTGCCCATAAACTCATAATGAAAGTGTTTACAGAGATCAAGTCAGAAAGCAGTTTTCCCATAAACTTCTACAGGACTGAAGTCTTTTTGCAACCACAACTATCTCCATCTGGTGGCCTCCAGACAGAATGCAGGTTTTTAGGTGCTTCTTTATTGGCTTAATCTTTCTGACTCGAATGCTACATCCTTGTTTTATACTATCTGTTGTTGTTGAATGCGGTTTATAAACACAGCACGCTCACCATACTAGCTTTAGCTGATAATTTAGTAGTTTAACCTTCTGTCCAAACTTAATCATTTATGGCAAAATACAACATGGCAGTAGCCAAACCACTAATGTTTAGGCTTCAAAATTCAGGGTACACAAATCAATGAGTGATGGTGCAATGGCTATGACCATCTTTTATATACAGTCTGTGGTTAGTGGCTTCTGCCTAATTTCAAAAATCACTTATTACCTTATGATAGATTGATTTTATAAAGCATACAATAACAGCATTCTTTTCATTTTTATTACAAACAGTATTGCTTATTGATTGCCAATATTCGGTTTCTGTTCTGTGCATGACTGTGACGGTTGGTCCCTTTTTTTTTTTCTTTAGTTGTGCAACTGAAGGAACTCTCATGCTGTGATCAGCAAGATGTGTCACTAACAATAGCAGTGCCAGAGGCTGCACTAGTTAAATATTTGTGGTTACCAACCCTGACATGAGTTTTTTCAAACTGCTCAGTAATCACTGCAAAGGAAAGCGACTATTGGCTAAAGTGCAGAAAGGTAGAATAAACTGATTGCATCTATGCATCCCTATGTTGCTTTCCAACATTTTGATATTTCCAGTGCTTTCTGGAAACCTAAACTGGGTAGTTTTGCAGGGACTTTGGTTGCACTTTCTTTCTTTCTTCTTTTTTTGGCTTTTAAAACTTTCAGCCAGCTCTTCCAGGAAATTGCAACAAACAGTTTTCCAAAGTAGTTAGACAGTCATTATAAAGTATCTACAATACATAAATTCTGGATTCATTTCCCCTGGGTTAAATAACACACTGGGGGTTTTAAATATTTAGATTTAAAATTGTAATTTCTCAGAAATTAAGCAAATAAAACTGCTAACTTGTTCAGAGTGTACCCTCCTGCAGGAAAGGCTCCAGCCCTTTCCAAACCCTGGGTTAGACAAGCAGTTAAGAATATGGATGGGTGGATAGACAGAACATAAAATAAACATTGTTTCACTTGTGCAAGACTCAAACTCGCAATGTTCTGCTTTTTATAATAAACTGTGGCTTGATGTCTTGACAGTAGTATTGTCGTTCTTGACAATACAAAGATTCAGTTTTTCTTTTTAATCTGATGCAGCTGGCATCTTGCATTTTATTCTGCTCTGTCATATTTAAATGTAAAAATTGCTGTTTTTGAAAGCCATATAAACAAGAATACAATTGTTTATTTCATTTTAATTGTAATGCTGACGATGAGACGAGAAAAGAACATGGGAGATGAAAACCTCTGAAACTGGTGATTTGTATTTTGTGCAGCAACCATTGTTCAGCTCTGAATGTCGAAGTGTTGTTCATTTCAGAGAGAAGCCTATGGTAGTTTGAAAGCCTTTGAACACAATGAAAATGATTCAGTACAGCACCAGAGTCTAGCTTAATAGCTTGAGGACATGATTTAACAATGTTTCCTGGTGTAGATTGGATCAGACGGGAGATGCATATTAACAATTGATGAGGCCGAAATCAGACCTTATGAACCTCATGCTGTATTAAAATAAAAAATAAGAAAAACCATGGCACAACATGGCACAATAAGCTAAGTGTCCATTATTTGTGTTAGGTTAGATTCCCTACAGAGAGACTTCTGTTCAGTGAAGTTTGCCAGCTCAGCTTTATAGACTGGAATGGTTTTTTCCAGTGTATTTGAGGGTTTGTTGGCTAACAGTGCCGAAGAAAGTCATCAGTTTTCTGTACCTTTAAGTTGCATCTCGTTTGCTGTCACATGACCCAGTCAGCTGAGAAAGGACTGTGAGATGCAGTTGATAGGCTAAAAAAAGCTTGTGGTTTAACCTTGACACTTGCTACAATGTCAAACAAATGTCATCAATGTTAAGAAAGAAGGCATGAGTATCCTTATGATTTTACTGCTATCTTACAGATTGCCTCACAAAAGTCTGTTAGGTCAGTAATAATTGTAACCTTTGTTGTTGTGTGTCTTTGTGTCTCCAGCATCAAGCTCCTGTATGTCCTTTAACCCTGAGACCAGGAGGCTATCTGTGGGGATGGACACTGGGAGTATCTGTGTAAGTCCAGCCAACATCCTGCTTCCCTTTTAAATGCAGACCTCTGGTTTTTTCACTCCTTCCTCTGTGACAAACTATTTCCTTTTTTTGCCGGTGATGTTATAATCAAATGAATGGAGTAGTTGTATTTCTTTTGTTTTAGTGGAAATGTCAGTGCCCTAGTTCACAAACCTGATCTGCTTTGATTGTGTTTTGAAGTCATTTCATCTCACCTGAAGCACACTATCTAGCCACTCAGCCGAGATTTTTTTTTCTTTTTAAATGTGAATTCATCTCTTCCAGTAAATCATCATCATTATAGCAATTTTGTCCCCTCTGATCTTTCTTACAGTGGCAGTGAATAGCTTTCGTTTGTGACAAACTGTGGCAAAGCTCTCCAGAGAATAAATCTCACTTCTCATTTTTATTTGCTTTTCTCACACAGTACCATACAATGGTGTCTAATTGAACGAGTTCCTTCAGATCTACTTATTCTATTCATGCTCATCAGAGGAAGAATCCTTGTGATCTTGGTCACTTAATAATCCTTCCTATAGTGCGTCACGCAGCTCATAATGCAATTTATTAATACGATTCTTTGTTTCCAGAGGGCAATACCTCTTTGCCAGACTTTCCTTTTGGTCTACTCCGTACAGTTAAAGCTCCAACCCCAAAAAAGTAACCATTATTTTTTTATAAACAGCAACACAGCAGTTTCATTTCTGACCTGACGCAGTGCAGGTCACTCTATTTTTAGATGAAGCATTATTTGCTGTCCACTTCTTGTTTTGTTGCTGTCCTAAAATAAAGCCAGCACGTGATGTGAACTTTTCTTGGACATTCATCTCAGAACAACCTCATAACTTACCATAAGTTCCCATAAGTGTTTTATTAAGGGTGTTGACCTCAGCTGAAACTTCAGAACAAGAACCTCTCTTGTATTTATTGATCTATGAGTCATTTGTCTTTACGTTTTTGAGGAAGTAGTACTTATTTCTCACCTATACATGCTGTGCAGTGCACATTTTGCATGAATCCTCTGATGTGCAGAGAACTGAGCCAAATGTAATTTAAACACAGCAACATAGTTTTTTTTCTATGTTTACAAAGTTGCTGGAAACTTTAGTCAGTGACCAATTATCTCCACTTCCTCTCTTTCAGGAGTTTGTTCTGTCAGAAGACTACAACAAGATGACTCCAGCACGCACCTACCAGGGTGAGACAGAAAGAGCAAGAACGCTGTTATATTCAGGGGTGCACATAAGTGGTCCGCAGGTGCGCATTCTGCACCACATCTCTGTGCGTTCATCATTTGTTTGCAGCCAGCTCACCTCCTGCAACCACTTTTCTGAGAATACGCGCTTCTTTGGAGGTGGAGGAACACCAAAGAAATTGCTTAAAGGAGCTTGCTTCTTTTGACATCTTTAAGAGTTCTAAACAGATGTCTGTCCTCCTCCAGAAAATCTTATGTACCCAAACGCGCGTTGCAACTCCTTATCTGGTGCGTGTCTTTTATTTTGATGCGAATGGGGTTTAGCTGAAACTTGCATTCAGAAGGCAAAATTCTTAATGCCTTGTGCCCAGACTAATACCCCGACTAAACCTTCCCCACTGCCCCAGAAAAGAGTGACAAGGGGCTTTTCTTTCTCTATAAATAAATTATGATTTGTCCCATTTAAAAAAAAAAAAAAAAAAAAAAAAAAGAAAAGAAAAGAGAAAAAAGTTATTATTATTATTACAGTCGGTGTTAGAATGCCTTAAAAATATAAGTCTAACACTTTCAAAGTGAATTTTTTAAGCTTTGTTTCTGCTATCGTTTATTGTTACTTGTTATTTATTGTTACTTTTGCCAATTCTGGGCAGTTCAAAGTTAATAAAGTCCACTCACATCCTTGTACTTTAGGCTTTGTAGCCTGAGGAGTATTTGCTCTCTGGCTGTGTTCATAATTCATGCCTCTCTGTGGAGCATAACTCACTAAGTGTGGATCAGAGCACCAGTGATAAATCTCTTTATGTATCCTCCACAGATTCCACTATACTGCATGTTTTTTATTGTGTGGGTGTCCAAAACAACCCAAGATTTATTTATTTATTTTATGGATATAGAGAAATATTTATAGTTGACCTTTATGATATGTTTCTCTGATCATATGTGAAGATGTATCTTTGTGTCACATAAGGCTAAGTGTGTTGTGCAACAGTACAAATGTATAAAAATACGTCTTCATCAGTGTCAAGCACAAACTTCCTCTTCATTTGTCTGCTTTCTTTGAAGAAGGCAGTAGTGCTTGATCGTCTTCTTTCATGATGACCATGATTTCTTGTAGGCTACTCTCGTTTTAATTAATTTGATTTTTTATGTGTGTAGCTCATCAGGGCAGGGTGACTGTGGTGCTGTTTGTGCTGGAGATGGAGTGGCTGCTGAGCACGGGGCAGGATAAAAACTTCACCTGGCACTGCTCAGAGAGCGGCCAGCAGCTGGGGACATATCGCACCGCAGCCTGGGTCTCAGGACTACAGTATCCTTCTACACCCAGCTTTGTCTTTAGAGTGGATCGAGTGGGAAGTGACGAGCCAACTTTGATTCTTTAGCCTTTGTCTTTTTATTTTGATGACACCGTCTATTTTTAGGTCAGTGCAACATAAGACCGGGCAATTGAAATTAGCCTCCAGTTAGTTTCTACTAATGTGAAGGGCTAACAATAGGCATCAGTCATGCTGTTGTCAAGGAAACGGTCTGAGTAGGTTTCTGTAATGGCCACATGAAAGGCTGTGTGAGTGCTCAGCAGCGGCACTGATCCATACCAATGAGCCTGCTATTAGGTCATCACACTGCTGGTATCCTCTTAGCATCATGCTAACCTGTCTACATAACATGGCAAGAGGAGATTCAGAGCAGCGGCGTTTATTTGTTCAGGGATTTTAGACATAATGAAAAAGGAACAGTGTGGAAAATGAAAAGTTACATTTAAAAGTTTTGCTGGGTTTTTTTTGAAAAATTGTTCAAAAAATTGTTGTTCAAATGGCCGTCATAGTGCATGAAGCCTTTTAACCAAATCTGCGCTCATTTGAACTAAAGCAAGCCTTTTGATACTGTGGCTGAAAGCTTTTTATTTGGAAACAACAAATAAAAAGTGCCCTCATACTGTTTACCATTAGTTATACGTGTTTTGCTGTAGTTCTGATAAATATAAAGTAAGATAAAAAGAGGCATCTTATCTTGCTCCCAGTTTTATTTTCAGCGTAGCCTAAAAAAGGAGGTGTGAAGAAAAGTGGGCCAATACGTCTCCACAACCACACGAGAGAGACTGACAAAGTCAAACAGTTAGTGCTGCTAAATGTGTTTCTACAAGCTACTGAATCAGTTTTTCATACACTGCTTCTACATGTTGTTCTTAGTAGATATTAAATAAATAATGACGATGTAATATGACATGTATTGTTCACCTGAGCTTGTGTTTGCCTAATTTTAAGACTTGCTGAGGAACAGATTTTTTTTATGCTAAACTCAATTTAACTGGTGAAGACTGAGCTGGAACTGACAATTGTTTTCTTTTTATCATTAAAGTACAAAAGCCATCATTAAACAGAAACGGTGCTACGCTGAAAACAGACCTAAGAGCAGCAAAAGAAATTATAATGTTTCATGTGGAGGATCTACTTTACTCAACAAACTTTGAAAATATGGTTAATAGTCAAGTGTGCAGTGATTCTTTAGATGCACAGTTTGTACTTTAGTTTTTCCTTTTAGGGTAATGAATAAGAATATGACTTGGTCACTTAAGTTTCCTAGAATCAGATTATTTTGACGTGTTTCCTGTTCACTTTTTAACAGCGCGTAACTGTTTCATTTCTCACCAGCTTAGCATACTTTAAACAGGCATTAACCACCGCAGCTCAATGTGGCTAACTGGCTGTAGCAACATTAAGGCTGAAAATGGTTAAACAGACAGTCAGGGGTGTTTTTAAAAACTGCTACAGCCCTTTTAATGTTTAATAAAGATTTCACTGGTTTTCTGTGGTGTTGAGAAGGACAGACGAACCAGCGGTGTAGATCTGTTGTAATATCCTTTCACTTTAAAATCATCTTTTCTGTGCTTACTGGGAGTTATGCACAGCGTGAAATCTCAGATTTCCAGAAAGAAAAGGACAAATCAGTGGAAGTGGATTGGATCTTTAGGTTATTGTTTCCGCTGTTGGGTTTCCTCGTCGTCTTTGGATCCCGACGTAATAATTTGGTTCAGTCGTGACTTAATCGGGTCAGACGAGGGCTTTGAAGGAAGCCGGTGAAACAGCTGAGAGTCCTCCGCTGACAGTCGCTGTGGTGCTGCCTCTGCACGAATTCATTCAAAGCTTTCATGTAGTAGTTTACACAGAGTTGGCTCTGGATTTTGGTGAGCAGTGAAATTTACAACTCTGTTGTGAATCTGTTCGGTCTGTGTGACAGGATCTGAATGAGTGCATATTTAGCAGGAAAGCATGACCTTAATTTTGACCCAGGTTCGACGTGGAGACCAGACACGCCTTCGTAGGGGATCAGTCTGGTCAGGTGACAATCCTGAAGCTGGAGCAGGACCTCTGCAGCCTGGTCACCACCTTCAAAGGACACACTGGTACCCACACACAAGCACCTAGTGTCCTAATTGAAGCACAAATGATTAATTAATCGGTCAGCTGATCAGGCCTCTGATAGTGTCACTGTTAGTTTGGCTTTTTGAGTGATTTTTAACAGATGACATGGAGCTTAAGGGGATTTTTGTTAACATTTACCAGAATTAAATAAATAATTCAATAATTTATTGATAAAATGTTCAACTGATTGATCAAGAATGAAAATAATTTTTGGCGGCAGTCCTAGCATAGTAATGAAGCTCTGAACTCTTGCCGGCTCTGCCTGCGCCACAACATTGTTAAATATTCATTCCAATTTTGTCTGTACAAATTGTCTCCCAGCTATGTTTCGGATGATTTTCAGTTTTCTGCTTTCAGTACGCTCCCGACTCTGAATATTAGTTTATGAGAAAAAGCCAGCATCTTTTGCTTGTGTGCTTTTCTTATTTCTTCGCTGATCTGAGAGAGAGAGGAGCCTCTACAGTGGATCACAGCAGCAGATATTTTCAATATTTGGTGATTACTTTCTGATCTGTAAACTTTAAACAAAACCCACTTTAAAACAATTATGTAGCAGTTGAGTCGCAGCTTTTCTTTGTATGATAATTAAATCTTTATTTTAGAATTCAGTTATATTTTGAGGAGCATTCTCATAAATGTGTGTTCACACAGCAGCTGCAGTAAGTTCACACAGTATCCTCGTTTGTCTTCGCCTGTTGTCCTCCAGCAGGTTGCAGATTTGTTGACGCAGCTCAGCATTGATTTTTACAGAGTTGTGCGTCCCCGGTGGTTTTAAATGTTCGAGAAAATCTTTGGAACTTGTCATGATGCAGTCTGCTTCAACAGAGAAGGCAAAAGAAAAATGTGTTTTTACCATTTAACAATAAAGAGACATCCAAATGAGTTTAAAGATGAGAGAGGTCCAACAACAGTGACTTCAAGCCAGTGAAAGTTGGTTTTAATTAATTGGTTTTTATTAAATTTCAGTGAACCCTGCACAATAATGTGGCGTAGCTGACGGAGGCACTTTTGTCTCCGTTGTAATTTTGTCAGGTAATGTGACGGCGCTGTGTTGGGACCCGGTCACAAGGGTGTTGTTCTCCGGAAGCTCGGACCACTCAATCATCATGTGGGACATCGGCGGACGCAAAGGCACCGCTATCGAACTGCAAGGACACAAGTAAGGCTCTCCATTAGCCAATAAGTTATACATATGCTCAGCGGTTTTGTATTGATGGAATTGTAATTGTGTTTTTGTCATGTTTACTCAGTTTCATTCATTTCATCGCATTCACTTCAAGCTTGAATGACTAGTTGAAATGTAATGTTATGAAGTTACCATAAAGGCTGCAGGAGAGCAGACTTCAGTAAAAGAAAAACAGTGTTCTGACTTCATAAGAGGACGATAAACAGACTCTGGAATCTCACACTTTTTTTTGAGCAAAGACCTTTATTGACTCTCAAAAGTTAAAAGCTGCTAAATAAATGTTTTTCTTCTTAGAGCATTTTATAAAAATGTGCTTTGACATTGAAACAAGCTTTTCAACCACTGAAAGCTTGGAGGACCCACTCAGTGTAGCTGCTACCTTGTATTTTAACTTGTTGTTTCTTGAATTTTAATGCAAAGCACTTCTGGTTATGTCAGCATACCGGGACACCCACTTCACTGCTGTGCTCTCCCCACAGTGACAAAGTTCAGGGCCTGTGTTACGCCTCACACACCCGGCAGCTCATCTCCTGCAGCTCAGATGGAAGCATCGTCATCTGGAACATGGATGTAACACGGCAAGAGGTGAGAGAGAGCAGACTGAAGCAGCGTGACGTCAGCGCACAAACACAAGCTTGTGTTTGATGTGTGAACTGCAACAGCTTGTGAGCAAAATAAGGAAATGTCATGTGTGCTATGTAATAGCATGCTTTTTTCCCTTAGTGCTTCCCTGCATGTCTTACAGGGAAGCACATTCTGTGATGCAGATCGGCTCAGAGGATAAACTGCTGATGTTTGTTCTCTCAGATCCTTTGGCGGCAAAAAGTTCTCTTTAGAGGTCCATTAAAGGTCACCTGATTAGCAGAGTTTTCTTTGATTTTCTGTCGTTCAGATGCTCACACAGTCTAGATTCGGCGTCTCCCTCTTTGCTCTGCTAGTCTCCAGGCTTTAATTGCTTCTATATTCAATCAGAGCCACTTTCACTCTGCCTCGCTGTTCTGTTGTGCCACAGTCTCTGTAATTTGCTCCAAATTTTCGTCTTTAAAATAACAGCTTGACTAAGTCGTTCACCGGAGTCTTGACGGTTGTGCTGGGGTCTTTAGTTTTCTATGGAGAGTCTTTAAAATCTCTGACTTCCTACCTCTGCCAGGCTTGTTCTGACTGTGTGGCTCTCCTTACATTTCTTGATAATACTTCTCACTCCAGTTATTGACACACTGTGATAACTTTGTATATGCATGGGGGGGCTGTGTTTATGTTATTCCTGGGATCTGCTGGAGCCACTCGCCTAGCTTGGGAGTCACCGCACCTAGTGCTCTGATTACCACGGGGACCACCGTTACCTTCACCCTCC